GAAATGGGAATGGGGATGGTGTGGGGTGGGCGCCTTTAATGACTTGTTGCTCGGCTCGGCGACAAAGTAAACGCTCGAGCACCGAGAACCTGGCGGCTGGCAAGTGCCGAGTATCTCATCACTTTCCCATAAACTCTGGGGCCCAGATGGGGCCGCCAGGGGCCGTGGGCGGGGATATTGCAATTTACGTCCTGCGGTCTAATTAAAGTGCAAGCACAAACACAAACGCAAACACAAACGGCAGAGGACCAACTCAACTTGTGGCAGGTTGAAAGACGGACCACGAGCAATTCGCCAGGCGCATTGAACGTTGCGTGTTTGCAGCTTTGCGGTCGGTTCATTTGATGGGCTACACCGGAAGAAAAGCGTAGTAGGTGATTGGGAAATCGATCAACATACCTCTTATACCAGAACTGACCTTTCTCATTTCAAAAGAGGTTTATTAGAAGTTACCTCCCTAGTTGGTACAATTACTTTGAATTGGAGGTACACAATCTACCACCGCTTTTTCTCTCTGCACTGGCCAACAGAGCAGCTTTCAATAATATAGTATCCAACCCTATCGCTCTGCCCCTTTCTTTGGCTTCGTTGCTTTTCTTATCCCACATTAATCATGTTCATTTCAATTAATTTACCCATTTCTTCACTTTGTCCAGCCTGTTGAAGGAGAGTGTGTCTGTGTGTGTATGTGTGGGTGGGTGTGTTTGTTTTATTAAATGTTCGCAGTGGTGGGCGTGGCCATCACTCGAGCCGCTAGTTGGCACATCCTTTTTATTAAAATTCGCAGTCTATAAATTGCCAAGGAGCATCGGTGGGACGGATGAACGTGGGATTGGTTGCGGAAGGCGATGGTGATGGTGATGGTGATGGCAATGGAGATGGTGACGTTGACGGTGTTGAGAGTTGGGATGGGGATGGGGATGGGGAAATGGGTCCGACTCGCGCACATGTTTCCGAAGACGTGTGTGTAGCCAAGACTTTTATGAGACAGCAACAGGAAATGCACGGAAACGATCTGGGCTGGGCCCAAAAAGAGGGAGCGTGTGTTTCTTTAAATGGAGCAGGTCAGCCGAAGAATGTGGCAGATGCGTGTGCGGCTGAAAATAACTTAGGAACGCTGCCTAAATACATTCGAAGAAGCTTAAAAAGTTATTGCTGCATCACATTACACATAAATACACCTTTATAAAATGAGTCCCAACACCCCCCTTGACTCCATTTGCAATATAAACCAAATAAAGCCATTAATATGATTGATTTAGAATCCATTTCACACACTCACTTGCAGTAAATTTGTTTGTGGCGAGGACCTGTTGTTCCGACGACACATTTAGGTCCATATCCTGGCAATTTGGCCTCGATTTCAGGCTCCTTGTGGTTTCTCCTTCTCCAGTTTCCTCTTCCCTCAGCTTTTTTGCTCCTTTGCGGAATTCACAGAATTTGTGGCAGGCTCTGAGGCCGTGTCCTTCTTGGCAGGCGGCTTATGGCAGGAGCCAGAATGCATATGTCTTGTGGGGGGTTTGGGGGCCTAGTCTTATAGATGCGCTCGTTTGTTGCAGTCGCCTGTCATTTTTATAGGTTTGTTTGCCTGCCGATCCGGCGACATTTGTAGATGATTTTTATTGGCCACTGTCGCATGTGGGGCAGAGAGTTATGGCCAGCATATGAACCATTATGATTTGTTTTTGCGGTTCTCAATGTTTCCAGAAATCTAACTTGATTCCTAAATTTTAAGGTTTCATATCCCCTCTCCTAAGAAAAAAACACTTTCGCTTCGGACTTAATTGAATTAGGCGCCCCGATAAGCCCTTTATTTTTATTTCTGTGTGACCCGCTCGCGCGTAATTATAATCCAATAAAATAATAAACATATCGCCCCGTTCATCGTTCAATTTACTTTCACACTTTCACCAGCAGACGGAGGCGAGAAGTTTTCCTTGTGACACGCCAACTTAACTAAATTAAGCCCCACAATTATTGGATGGCAGTGGGGAAAAGCCACACACACACACACACACACTCGCCCCCGGTCGCTCCATTCGCACTTTTCTCAATTGTTTTTCGTTATTGCTTTTCGTTATTATATTTTGATAACATGATTTTGTTTACACGACAAATACTCACGTAGCAATGTTTTACTGTTATTGTTTCTGATACGATGCTCACCTCTTTTCCCCCGACTTTTTCCACTCCACTGGCGCTTTTCTATTAGTCAGAATCATGGCTTGGCCACGTACGAAAGCCCCTTCCCGCTCCTCCCCCGATTTTCAAACACGTAGCCTGGGCCACAAATTTCCCATTAAAAACGCAAAAGGCCAATGCATAAATGATTGATACCGAACGGGGGGGAGATCGTGGCTTAAAAGCGCTTGGTGGCTGGTGGGGGGTCAAGTGCGAGCACTTCCGTCACTCGGAGACCTGGCAACTCATTCACATGCCCATCCATCCATTCATCCATTCATTCATAACTGCGGATTATAGTTTATCGTGGTCGTAAATGCCCTGGCCCTGCCATTTGGCACACCTTTGCAACTTCGTAAGTACTGTTTACAGTCCGGCAATACTTCGATTAGCCAAATTGACTAGTTGCCTCCTCCCGAAAGCAACTCGAGTCCCCCTCCAACACTCAGCTCCTCGGTGGACAAGTCTTCCATTCATTAAGAAACTTGAGGCGTCTGCTGTTGTCTCCGCCGACCAGACATTCGGCTTCCGCTGTGTGCCACATTACTCTTGCCCCACCCTCAGCTTTTCACAGGCAAACCTGGCTAAGGTGGAACTTACTGTTGATAATGGATTAAAGCAAATATTTGATTTGCCTTTTGAATCATATATGCATAGCAAAACCTGACAAGTTTAATCAACCGAAGGCAGCGGTGAGTCACTTCACTTTATGGGGTTTCTACTGTAGCTGGATGTCGCCTTTGCATTTCAGCATACATATATTAATTGATATCGTTTTCGTGTAGTCATCGGTGGAAAGCGGGGCCGGGGACCAAGACAGGGGCGCAGACAGGGGGGTCACTGGCTGCGGGGGTTCGTTATGTGAATTTCAATTTGCTAGTGTGGGCTTTCTTACGTTGCCTGGCGTTACGTGTGGCCGGTGCCGTGCTGACGCGTTCCGAGCAACGTGACAACCCGTGAAGGGACGCGCTCTGAGCCAACTTTCTGTGACGCACACCTGGCCGCAATCTGTGCTAACACCAGCCTGGGGTCACTCCGGCTTATGCAGCTCCATCCCGGAGTCCAGTGGCAGTGGCTGCTCCTTCGACCTTTATTGCCGACCTGATGCACTTGCAGCGCTGCGGGAGTTACGTAAAATAATAAATAAAATGGCTAAGCATACGAAATGCTGCCCTCGGCCATTCCAAGAAAGTTTCCTTCGGTTTAAGCCATAACATGTCGTTGCTTTAGTGTTGCTTTTGTGGCCTTTTAAATGTCGCATTCGAGCGAAAGCCACAAAAGTGGAAGCAAATCTGCGGATTCGCTGGGCAATCAACCTCAGATTGCTTTTACGCTCCCCAGAGAGGAAATAATTAGAAGAAAGGGGTACTTGCTGCTTGAGTTCAATCCGGACTTTTAAAGAGCCATGAAAGGCAGCGAAACAAACAACTTTCCTTGCCAAAAAAAGTTAAGCCATGATTCCTTAAAGGCCAGCAACTGGAATCTGATTTGTGCATTTGTATGCACCGCACATAGCTACTTTTCAGCACCTAAACACGATGTAGAAGGGCCATTCATCACTCGAAATAAATCCCAACTAATCGCCACACACCACGCTGCCTCTATAAGAATACCAATACCAATCTAGCCACAACTTTTGGCTAACGATTCTTTTCATGAAATTTGCAAATCGTTTGGCCATTCAAAACTTTGTATATAATATAATACGTATACCTCTTCTTTTTCTTTTTCGTGCACAATTTTTAAGCGACTGACAATAACAAGTAAGGCGAAAATCGAAGCGTTCCGGGGGGCGATGGAAAACGTGGTGCGAGTGTGACAATTTTCTCGTGTGTGTGGGGAAAACGAAAGAGAAAATTAAATTTGCAGGTCACGTAATTTGCTGGTGTATGTGTCAAGTTTGCTCTGCGTGCCACTGTGTGCGTTAGTTAATAAATATGCGCGCACGCGATGTAAAAATATGTAAATCCAGAAGCAACACACATATGGCCACTGGAACGAGTCGATATTCGAGTTGGGTTCTATTCTCTATTCTCGTTCTGTTTTCGCACTTTACAGTTATGACCCAGTATACACACATACATACATACTTTGGGTCTGAACGTAATTCCCTAGAGAAAACTGGCACTCAATAGGGCGAATACAGCTCGAGATGCTGTGGTCCCCAAGGGGAAACCTCAAAGCAAAAGGTTTTCTAATGCAAACTAAGACAAAAAAGTAAGATATTCAATAATATTTAATTGTAATCAACGGGCTAATAAATATAAGTATTATTTAAATGGTTTACAACCCGAGCTATGTTCAAAGTTAAAATCGGCTTACCAAACTTGATTGATACTTCTTAAATTTCTATTGCTGGCCCTTTAAGTAGCCAGCGCTATGATCTCGGCCAGGAGATATGGAAGTGGTCCACATCCATTGGCTCTGCCAAGCTCCTTCCTTCGAGCACTTCTCCATCAGCGTTTCCTTGCACTTTTTTGCTGTGGCACACTTTTCGGGTTATTAATGTTAAAGTTTTTGTTGCTGTTTATGTTTTGTTGCTGCCGCCCGCCGTCCTATCTGGCGTTGCTTTTATCATTAACTTTATGCAAAAAGTTTCGGCTCTGGTCCGGGTCCTGGTTCTCGTCCTTTTTTGGGGAATGATGGTTTTTGTTGATGCTGGCAGGCTGGCAGTCAGGCAGGCAGCATCATTTGCAAACGACAAATAGTTTGGCTCACCGAACCGGCCATATGGCAGACGGGCCATTGTTGAGATACCCGTTCCTTGGCACTTGGCACACTTCCCTAATGCATCTGTATCTACCCATCTCTCCTTGCAGTACAATTACCTCATGCAGTTTGATTATCTGCCCAAGTCGGACCTGGAAACGGGCGCCCTGCGCACCGAGCAGCAGCTGAAGGACGCAGTCCGGAGTCTCCAGGTGAGTTCCTCCCCCCATTATGCTCAATTTCCCCACTAACATTACCGTCTGCACAGTCTTTTGGCAACATTCCAGTCACGGGCCAAATCGACGCGGCAACGGCCCGGCTAATACAGCGACCCCGGTGCGGCGTGGGCGACAAGCCGTCCGCGTACAGCTTCTCGCCGGATAACCTGGACCACGACGGCGGCTCCGGCGGACGGGTGCGGCGCTACGTCCTGCAGGGACCCAAGTGGTCGAAAAAGGATCTTACGTGGAGGTGAGTCGCCTTTCTGTACCCCAAGACCCCGGCTTGAAGAGCTCTTGGCACGGCCTCGCTCAACAATAATGTGAATACCCCTCGAAGACATCGCAGTATCGCGGAACGTTTCTCCTATTTCTTTGCGTTGCCCTGCAAGTTTTCTCGATTTTTATGCAGTCCCGATTCTCCTGCAAGACCCGTGATTCATGATTATGCCGCCCTCGGCGAACCCCATCCATCGACCGGCTTGCCGCTCCCTCCGGCGGATGTTCATTTCAATTAAACTGCATGCAGTTCATTAATTTTGCAGCGTTCATTTAGATGCGAATTTATAATTTTACAAGGAGCTGGGTGGCGGGAAGGGCTCCTTTTTCCTTTTTCAGACAGTCCTGCCCTCATTTCCCCCGCCGCGTTGTCCTGTGCATACGCGCTGTCAATTAATTCAAAACTCAAACGTTGCGTAGCTTGTTAATTTTTATTACGGCCATTGCACTCGCCCCCAGAATGGGATTGCATAATTTCGAGTCCGGAGCGCTTGTTTTTATTTTTATGCAAAACAATTCAGTGCGTTCCGAACCTTAGTTGGCTGCTGTTCCTCCGCCCGCTTGTTGGCCAAGTTGACCCGCTGAGCGCTGAGCGGGAAAACTTGGAAGCGGGTGGCAGTCGCTTTCATTAAACACTTTGCGCCAAATTGAATTTTACGATGAGCCAGGCCGAGGCGAAGGAGCTCTGATTGCAGCTGTCACTTTTAGTGTTGTGTTTGATTTTTAATGCGCAGCTGCATAATTGCGCTTGAAATATTAAGCGGGAGTCTATCTCATTAGGAAATTTTCCAATTTAATTTGCATAGCTCCGGGGAGCCGTTCTTCGCCGGCAAACTGCATACTTTCGGGCTGAGCTGCAAAAGTTGAGAGCTCATCGCCATATCGCCGAATAGCCACATCGCACATACGCCGTGGTGGCCCTTTAAGCTGCTGGCTTCGCTCCACTCGGTTCACTGGGGTTCATGCAGCGATGGCTATTTAATTATTTCTTGTGTCGTCTACCCTTAATTGGCCATTAAGTGGCAAGCGACCAAAAGGGGCAGAAGCAGTAGCAGAAGCAGAAGCAGCAGCAGAAGCGAAACGGCAGGACAATATTGCGACTAAATTAAAGCATTACGCAGCTTCCAGGAGCCAGGACACCGGATCCCGATCACAGCGGTGGCTGCCCGCATCAAATTGACTCTACATGAAATACGCATATGGCGATGGCTCGGGCTGGGACATCAATATGTATTGACCTGCTTTTGGCCTAGCTGCATGTGTTCTCCTTAATTGCGGCACAAAGCGCTGAGGAGCTGAGGAGTCGAGGTGGCGAGGAGGCGGGTGGAAAAGGGGGTGGTCCGCCTGATTGTGTGCCGGCAAGTGTTTTTCCATTTCCGCTCAGCATGGAAATTGTGGGACGGAAGTCGTTCTTAGCAGTTTTGTACTCATTTCGTTTTCACCGCATTTTCGCGAAAACACACAATGACAACATCCTGGCACAAAGTTGTCGCCATCGCAGCATTCCTTGAGATATTAACTGCTAAAATTGCTGTTACACAGAGAACAAATTCCACAGTTGGGATTGATAATCTATCTATTCTGAGTAAGACTAAAAACTTAAGGCAAACTTAGGCATCTTAATTGAAATCCTCACAATAGGATGCACATTGCTTGTTTGATTTTCATGACCTGTTGAAAGTACCCTAAAGTTATTTCCTGTGCAGCCACAAATCAAGTGACAGTAGCAGCTTCAGCTCCAGCGGAAGTGACCAAAAACTTGCACTTTGCGCAAATGTTTAAACTAAATTGGCAATTGTCCTGCAGGAGAATGGGGAGAGAATATCTGTTTGGCAATGGCAATAGTCGTAATGTGGCGTTTGCTTGGCTGCAAATTAAGCTCTCACACTTTCCCCATTGTCAAGTGTTGACTCTTCTTTCCTCAAACTTAAATCTGTCTTAATTAAGTCAGTTATGCAGTCGGTCCTGCTGCCGAGTCAACTTGTCAAATGGCTTTTGAATGGAGCAAAAAATGCTTGTTCTTCATCTCCTCTGTTTAAGCTTCCATTTTTCATTTTCCATTTTCCATTTCTCTCTTAATGCATCGGCAAACAATTGTCCAGCCAGGAAAAGTGTCAATAAACGGAGAACTGGTCCTCGCACCTGTTGCTTTTCCCATTTACCTTTTGTTATAACTTAAAGTGTTCTTCATTCTTTTTCCTAAAAGCTTGGGAAACGTTTGAAAAATTCTCTGGAGAATTTTTCGCCTAATTGCGGGGATGCCTTTTCGCCAGTTTGCGCTCGTTTTGCGGCTTTCTCTCTATTAACAGCAACAATGTGGTCAAGGGCCGGCCATTAATTGCCCGTTTTTGTGGCATTAATAAACCGCAGCGAATGTGCATTGCGCACTTGCTGGGCATTTGTTAGATTTTTAATAACATTAATAAAGTGCACAGTGAAGTCAAAGGAGCGGAGCGGAGTGAAGGTCCTTAACACGCACATTCTTGCGTTTGCGTTTACGCTTATTAGCGTGCATGCGAGCCATTAACACGATGCACTGGGAGAAAAAGGGGGCGAGCACGTGGTCCAACCTTTTAGCTGCTGCAGTATAAGGGGACGACGTGAACGGATGCCTTTGACAGACGCCATAAAACTGTGTGCCACTCGGCAAAATATCGTAGAGACAAAGCGCCATCTTGTTGTCCATGTTACAATGATAAAAAGTAATTTTATGACGGCCACTCGCACGCCCACAAAGAAGAAGAAGAAGGGCCCGGATCCTTGGCCAAAGATGCAGCTTCACCTCGAGTTGCACTCGATGGCGGTGGGCCATTGTGTCCTTGGCCCGCTTGGAGTCGCAGCTCCTGATGGAAAAGCTTTTAACCAAAGGATGTAACCGGAAACTCCCGGCGAACCCCAGATCGTGTTTGGCTCCAATCTTAAAGAGCTGGGTTGCTTAAAAGACTATATATGATAGGTATTTCTTCAATTAAACCTGTTTACTCAAACGAATTCGGTTGGGGAATAATGATTTAAATGAAATTAGTAGCAGCTGTGCATTCCAAGCAAAAAGTAAAAGAGGAATCAGTTTGTAGTGAAGTACTCAAGGTGGGTTGGCTAAATCAATGTTGAATGGTGGGAAAACCATAACCAAGCTATTGTCAACTGAATGGGACCCCCAAAAACGAAAATGTACTTTTCTGCACAACAACACCCCATTTGGCCCTCTTATGTTCCCTTTATTTATAACCTATTTTTTATGATTTTTAATTTGCATAAAATAATTTGCTGATCAGCGCCAGTGAGCGTTTTTCTCATCATAATTTATTCGCCAGGCGGAGTAAATCACACGCACCAGGCCGAAAGAGATGGCCGCAGTGGGAGCGAGGGAGATGGGTGTAGGGAGAGAGCGAGAGGGCGAGAGGGGTCATTTAATGCCGCAAACAGAACATGGCAATAGTTTTATGCTGCTTCAGCTGCTGTTGCTGTTGCTGTTTATTTTGCAGCAGTCATTTGCAGAGTTGCCTTTACTGCACTTTGTCCTTTCATCCTGCCCAACCCCCACCCAACCCCTCCACTGTCCCTGTCCCTGTCCGCAGGACTCTCCTGACATTCCTCAGTCCTCGTCCTTGGTCCGTCCGCTGTGCATTTTTTTCGGGGGGCGGCCAGGGCTAATGGGCGTCCATTGGCCATAGTTTTCTGACTTTTCGTATGCTGTCAAGTGCTCGGCACTCGAAATTATTATCTGCCATTAATCATGGCCATAATGTTTGCCAGCTATAAAACGGAGCAAGTGCAGCCAGAACTGCACTGCAACAGCGAACCGGACTGTACCCAATAACTGCTGGCAGTAAGCAACTGCCAGAGGGCGGCTTAAAGGAACTTCCCTCTGGTAAGTAAAAATAAATTTGGCCGTTGGAGATTGTTATTTGCAAGGAGCAGAACGAAAGCGAAAATGGTTTAGGATTTCTCTTCAGATTTATATATTACGGAAAAAACTTAGTAAAACATCGCAACTGGAACAGTTAAATTCCTACATTTTAAATTCGTATTACCTTTCTATATCTCTGATTCTGAAAACCCTTCGATCTACCCTCCAGCGGGTCAGTTATAATTTTGTGCATTGCTTTATTACTGTGACAATTATTTTAACTGCTGGAGATTTTTATTATTTTTGTTTTTTCCATAGGATTCCGTGTCTGTGTGTTTTTTAAGTCGGTTGTCTGGTCGCTTTTTATGGGCCGAAGGAGAGGGTATACCCAAAACACGGGCAGTGCAGAGAAACAAAAGTGCCGCGTACAGTTGGGAACAAAAGCTCCTTGAGGTAAAGCCAGCTAGTATTGTAAACTAAGCTCGTGCATAAATAAAATCCTCAATTTGGGTTCATATTAAAATAGACATTTTGTGCTGAGCTCAGACGGAGCTCAAGGAAACTGTGTCAACATCTGTCTGTGTGTGCGGGCAGATCCTGTGAAAGGATTGCACTCACACAGCAGAGCAGCAGAAGAGCCGAGGCCCGTGATATGCCAAATTTATGATGTGGCATATTTTCTTATGCTGGCTAGGGCCTTTGAATTTTGCATGAACTTTGATAGCATATAGGTTAGGGTTTCCTGCGCCGACACACATACACACATGTACGTGCTGCACGTATCCTTTGTCTTAGCGATTACTCCTTGAGTCGGCAATCCGATACCGCACAAGGTGTAGCATTTCAAAATTTAATAACCAAGTGGGCTGCAGAACTTGCCACCGCACAAATGCCTATAAGTCCCTCGCTTCCTGTTCGAGCTGCGGGCGAACCGAATTCGAGCCATCGCATTAGAGGAGGGGCTTCTGGGGACGCAACCCATTGAAAACCCATTTGCCAACCGCCCGCTGACACAGCCGCAAAAACAGCAGCTGGCGGGGGAGGAGGGAAAGGGGAAAAGGGTGGAGGAGCGGATGGCCGAGCGGTCCGCTTCTTTGTACGTGTCAATTCGGGAAGCAGAGACT